GGCGCTCTTTGTTTGGCTTCCTTATTAGGCAATCATATTTAACATTATTATTTTGTTTTATTGTCAATTGGTTAGGAAGAGGGAAGGGAATCTATGTAGGGATTTTTATGAAAACACAATTTCCCCCCTAGAGGAAAATGGCTCAGTGTTTGGCTTGTGGGGAAACTGCCTGGCCCTGCCCAACACCAGAAATTTCCACCAATCACGATTGCTCTTGAGTCCACAACAACAGACTTCTGTGATCTAGGGGTCATGTCCCAGCAGGGTGACTCCAATTTTTTGAGTTTTGCTTGTGTTCTGAGAGAACTGACCACAGTCTCAGCCTGATGCTGAGGACTTCTCTCCTGTACCCCTGTCCCCTGCAAGACCCTCATGACTTCATGTGGACTGTGACAACCTCCTGGGGTCACTTAGCGTTGACTTATAAGTAATGGACTGATTTGCTGTCTGGTTTCAAAATGCAGAAACTGTTCTCAGGATCTGCTCTTTTTTCCTGTTAGTCCAATCGGTCTTCACCTGACTCAACCAGGAAAAAGTTGGTTGAGGACCACCCGCCCTCTCCTTGGTTTATTTACTTACTAAATGGGTTTTTGCATATGGTAGCCTCTAGCTGGTACATGGTCATTTAGGTTAAAATTAACTACAATTAAACACATCTAAATGTTTGGTTCCTCATTTGCGTTTGTTATAGCTCAGTGCTTCATAGCCATCTGTGGTCTGTGGCTACTGTGTTGGACAGGAGGGATATAAACATTTCCATCTTTGTGGAAAGTTCTATGGAACTGTATGGTTTGTCACATTGTGGAGTGCTTAGGATTATGTCCCCTCTTAGTATGGCTGTGATTTCTGCTAACATGCTGTGTGTTAGCGCTTGCTTGGGATCTCCATACTAGGTTGTAAGCTCATGGAGGGCAGGGGCCATATTGGTTGTGTGCTTCTTGGGTCTGTGCGTGCTGGGCTCACTGTTGATGTCCACTCACTGGATACAGAGTAGAGGAACAGACGATGGACAGACTGGAGGATGGCTTTGTCCTCGGTATTTGTGGACCCAGAGTAATTAATCTCTTCTATGAGGCTCTGTTTTATAGAGCTCATTGCCTGTTTCTGAAAGCAATCACAAATCACTCAGTTCCCCAGACAGATGAAAATGAGACACCACAGTAGACTGAAGATGGTCTTTAGCAATGGCCCTGTGCTGCGACTGAACTTTTTACAGGTCCCCAGGGGCCAGCCGTCTCTAGACAGGACTCTTGGGAACCCTTCCAAAGGCGAGAACCATTCCTGTGTGTTGGGTAGGTGGGTCTTCTGTGGGCTCTTTGACCTGTCTGTCTGCGCACAGAGTGCTCTTCTTGTTGTTGAGCGGGTCTCTGGCACAGCCGCCTTGGAGTCTCTGTTGGCGCAGAGAGAACCATTTCCAAACCAGATTTATGGCTTGTAGTTCAATGCCACGGTGACGCCTGAGGCTGCCTTCCGTGAGCTAAAGAACAGACAACAGGGCCACCTCTACAGTTTGAAAAGAAACTTTGTCTTTTTCTCTCCCTCCTTTTTGGGGAGTTCTCCTAAAAACAAACAAACAAACAAAACACTATTTAAATTCCAGAGAAAGAAGATGGGTAAGAACTTATTTATGACTTATGGCATGATAGGTAATTGAATTTTCATAATAACCCTAGGAGGCTAGGTATGTAAGTATTCACACTTTACAGATGAGAACACTAAAGCCTAGAGAAATTAGGTAACTTCCCCAAGGAGAAACAGCCTGTATGTGTCCTGCTGGGAATGATACCCATTGCCTGGCTCCAAAGCCATGCTTCCATCCACTAGGCAACACTGCCTTTCATTGTTAAAAAAATATCACCACAAACAGAAACACCTAGCCAGCTGCAAAAGTGAATTCACAGAATCAAAAGCTGGTTACCAAAAGCCTATGTGGGTCCGATAATAAATGCTAAGTCTCTGGATGAGATAGACTCACCCTCCCAAGTGCTTCAAGGCCACTGTGAGATTGAACCCAGGGGTGCTTAACCACTGAACCACATCCCCAGCCCTTTATTTTTTATTTTGAGACAAGGTCTTGCTGAGTTGCTTAGGGCCTTTCTAAGTTGCTGAGACTGGCTTTGAACTTGTGATCCTCCTACCTCAGCCTCCTGAGTTGCTGGAATTATAAAAATGCACCACCATGCCCAACTGGGAGATATTTTTGATAAGGTTCTGGTTCAGGAATGGGGCAAGGACAGGGCCTTCTGGGTTACCTCTGCCCACCACATAATGCCATAGGGTGAGCAGAGGAGAGGACATGGTTGGAGAAGTGCAAGCCTCAAAGCACTGCAGGGAGGAGTGGTTCCAGGGGATCCTAGAAAGCAGGATCCTTGGACACCAGGCCTGTCACCTCATACCAGCAGGTTTTGAGGTGATGTTGCACAGGAAGTGCCGCTGGACGAATTCATTCATCCCACAAATAACCAAGGGCTAGAGGCTGGGGATGTGTTTATAGGTCAAATAGACATTATCCTTGTCATCTGGAAATTCAGAATTGGGAGTTACATTGTTAATCAAATTACACAAATCAATTCATCACCACACATGTTAGGAGCCACGAAGAAAGAGAGGTATGAGAGATTATTTGGGGGCACCATCCTCACCTGAGAGTCAGGGAAAGCCTCCCAGAAGAGTTGGTGTGAGCCCAGACCCAGTGCAGGATGAGAGGGGTGAAGAAGGCAGAGCCGTGGAGCTCACTGTAGTAAGGAGCTAGCTACTGTGTGCACAAGTGAGGAACTGGGGACAGAGTCAGAGGGAGGCCAGGGAGGGACCCGGGTCCGATTCTGCCAGGCCTGGATGCTGTGTGGAGGTCTCAAGGACAGCGAGATGCTAGTCAAGCTAGTCAAGCATTTTAAGCTAGGCAACCCAAGGGGAGTCAAGGTCTCAGATCCCGCACAGGGGTTGATGTGTGGACACCCTGCCTCCCACACTGTCTCTGTTAGCTCATCCCTTGGTGCAGCAGTTGGGGACTGAATGGGCTTCCTTTTGATAGGACTTTGCAGTTGCTCTCTTTTTACTCCAGGACACTAGGCTCTATCCAATGATGTGCTCATGAGAACCATCAGGACATTTCCCTCTGACCTTTGGGCAGGACTCAGTTTAGCCTGTGATGTGTGGGAGCCCAGGGTCTCTGAAGAGGGACTGAGTTGCCCCATCTGTCCTGATGAGGCACAGGTTGAGCCCAGTTCCTGGGTGTGACAGTCAAGGTAGTAGTGGGTGGCAGTGGGGTTGGGGGCATCTGGCCTTACTGCTGAGATGTGCTCTGAGGAGTCATGGACTGGCTCAGACTCTCGCGATTTGGCGAGGGGGGCGGGGCGAGGAGAGGGCTGTGTGTTTCCAGATTTCCCTTGAAGGGTGTGGACAAGTGCTCTTCTGGACAAGTTCTCAACTGTTTGCTTCACACAGTGGGCCTGCAAAGATGTCTGAAGCAGAGCTGTGTTCACACCTCTGAGACCTCTGTGAGCTTGGTGTCATCACATGGTTGGCTTCACCATTGCTGGTGGCCACAGCTGTGCTCTTGACACTGCCAGGCATCACCCCCTCCAGCCCCACAGAGTGTGCCCAGGGCCCTGCTGTGGGGGTGGATGAGAGTGGACCTCTCCCAGAGCCCAATAGTCTCCTCGTATTGTGGATTGTACTGGACGATTACTGTTCTCCAGCTGCATTCTGCCGCTGTTAACAGGGGGTTCACTAATGAATTTCATGGCTACAAAGAGGTTTGGAAGAGGCATCGTACATGTTCCTTGATCTAGTTATTTATGATCACTATGCAACAAACTACTACAAAAGTTAATGGCTTAAAACAATAGTTTATTGTTATCTCTGTCACTTCTCTGGTTGACTAGGCTTAGCTGGGTGGTTCTTGCTTGGGGTCTCTCAGGCAATGACTTATTTTTGTCTCTTGATTGCAGTCAATTGACAGCTGGGCTGGACTCATTTGAAAGCTGTGTTCCTGGGTTTGTTGGGCATCTCTTTCCCCATGTGGTTGTGATACCAGATGACTTGGGCTTCCTCATAATATGGTGGTCTTAGAGTTGTTAGGCTTCTTACATGTTGGCTAGTTTCCCCCAGAGTGAATATAAGATAGGAGGAAACTGCCAGGCTTCACATGACCTGGTGCAGAAGTCCCCAGATGTCACCCTTTTATTGCTGAAGCATGTTACTGAGGACAGTGAGGCCAGTCTATATATTTATGTGTGACTACATAACTCAATAAGAGGACTAGCATATAATTGCTCTATCTTTAATTCTGAGAATTTCTGTACCAAACAAACAAACAAAAAACCTGTTTAACCCAGTATTTCCCAAGCTGATTATTATTGCTGTTAAAATCAGGAAATACCTTCCTCACAGAAAGTCACTTAACTTCTAATTCTGCCAGAGAACTGTGAGCAGAAATGGAAGAGTTCTAGATTTGGGGCTCAATACCATCATCTAATAAGTAAGACTTGCCATAGATGGAATTTGGAGAGTGAAAGTGTTCTGGATTTGAGGTTTAGTGGTTGTCTACATGGGTGGAGAAGCCAAACATCCCAGAGGTTAAAGCTTTGATTTTATTTCCTGCAGATCTAGGTTCATGTTCAGCATCCACTCCTCATAGCTATGTGACGTTGGGCACATAGCTGGGTTGTTGTCATGTCCACTGGGACTTGGCCTGTGGATTACTTGTTGCAGTAACTGTTCATGGTCAGTACATGTTCGACATCATGGTTCTCAGGGTGTAGAGGATGGCTTCTTTGGTTAGACTTTGTGTTGGCTCTGTTCCCTTGTCCTCTAGGGTTCAGTCGCAGCCACCAGGCTAGGGCTTAGAGAGGTGTGTTGCTCTCTGCCTGGTCCTTTGTGGTGTTTATTTGAGACCTTCTTCCCAAGGGCAGCCTGGTACAGAAAGTCATGGACTTTCTCCCACTTTTTTTGCAAAAGTAATCTCTATGCCCTTTTGCCTTTTTTTCCCCCCAATCTAGTTTCTCATAAGCGACCGTGACCCTCAGTGCAACCTCCACTGCACCAGGACTCAACCCAAACCCATCTGTGCATCCGACGGCAGGTCCTACGAGTCCATGTGTGAGTACCAGCGAGCCAAGTGCCGAGACCCGAACCTGGGTGTGGTCCACCGGGGCCGGTGCAAAGGTGAGTCCAGTGGAGGCTGCTGGGATCACAGGTCTCTGTCTGGTGCAGTCACTGTGGTGGGGGTTGGGGCAAGGGCTCAGCATGACTCTGTTCCTCTGGTTTGTTGTCCTGTCTCTCTACCCCTAACATCAGGAGTAGAAAAGGGAAGGAAGAAGCTCTACCTGGAGGAATGAGCACTTTCCTGTCTTTCAGTCTCAGCCACCAGGCTAGGGCTTAGAGAGATGTGTTGCTCTCTGTCTGGTCCTTTGTTGTGTTTATTTTTGTTTTAAAACAGTTATGCAAAGCTTCACTGATGACCCCTAAATAGGAATTTCAAATTGTTGACCACAGGATGTGTTTTTATTATTTTATTTTTTAAATCTTCTCTAAAACATTACAAACATTTGAGACAATATTTAGAAACTAGGGTATTCAAAAAAATTGTTTTCCTTTTTATGTTTCTTTTCCAAAATTGAAATTTCTGGTAATATTAGGTGTGTGTTTCTACAAAGCAGCACATGACTGGAGGCCCCCTCCCTTTTTTTGGTACTGAGGGATTGAACTAAGAGGTGCTTTATCAATGAGCCACATCCCCAGCCCTTTTTATTTTTTATTTTGAGACAGGTTTTGCTAAGTTGCTGAGGCTAGCTTTAAACCTATGATCCTCCTGCCTCAGCCTCCTGAGCCTCTGGGATTACAGGCCTGTGCCATTGCACGGAGCTGAATGCCCTTCTTCTTGTACCCGATTTATATCACTTTCCTGAGTCCTATGCGTATTTGAATTTGTGGCTCTGGAGTGCTTAGAGAATTATATAAAGGGCCGAGTAGGCTGCCCTAAAGCTTTTGCTTTTCTAAAGAAAGTGCTAGCAGGGGCTGGGCTTGTAGCTCAGTGGTAGAGTACTTGCCTTGCATGTGGAAGGCACTGGATTCGATCCTAAGCACCACATAAAAATAAAATAAAGGCATTTTAACTGTCTACAACTAAAAAAAAAAAA